TGCTAATCAACATTGCCATGTTAAAATGGAGGTATCAACAGGGTGTCCCATTTTCATACATGATTTGGACAAAGAAGTAGAAGGAGTGCTCATCAGACTTGCAAATGACATAAGGTTGGGTGGGATGGCTAATAAAAGACAGAATTAACATTAAAAATGATCTTCCTGGGTTTGTGAAATGGGTAGAAAATAACAAAATGAAATTTAATGAAGAAAAATGCAAAGTTCGTCATTTGGAAAGAAGAAATTTAATATGCAGGCATAAGAGGAAGGATACCTGGCTTGGTAATAACGCATATGAAAAAGATCTTGGAACTGTGGTGAATCACATTTTAAATAAGACTCAGCAGTGTGACATGACTCCTAAATATGCAATTTCAGGTTGCATCAATGGATATATAATTTTAAAATTAGGAGAAGGAATAGTTTCACTATTCATAGGTTTAAACTTCATTGGTCAGAATCCATCTCAAAGATTAGGTCCATTTCTGAGAACCACACTTTGAGAGGGATTCAGACAAACTGGAACAGGTTCTAAGTAAGGGACAATTAACCAATCCTAAAAGAGAGATTAAGAGAAGGGGGGCCTGTTTAGCCTTGAGTAAAGATAACTTGCCAAGAAAACTGCAGGGACTAGTCCAGGCAGTCACCAGGAATCAAAAACTGACTTGAAGGCACCATATCATGGGGAGAGGAACTGTATGATTCCACGCTTCATATACCTGACAGCATGTCGCGTAGGAGAAGGTGAAGGTCTGATCTCTGTCACCAAGAGCACAAGACACAAAATCATGGATCTCAGTTACAGATTGTAGCTGAATCATAGGAAAAGCTTTGTAATGGTTAGAGCAGTTTGGTTGTAGAGCCATTTAACCAGGGAGATGACAAGTTCCCTTTCACTGGATGTGTTCAGGAGGAAGATAGACAGCCATCTGTCACGGATTTGTCCCCTGAATGAGGGCCTCATTGCCCCCTGCCAATTCTTCTAGTTGTGGTCCAACAACACTCAGAAGGACATGATTCCTTCAGCCCTGCTGTGGAGCTGCTGAAAGGTCTTTGTGCCCTTTTACATTTCTTAGATCTTCTCCTTCCTTCCTTCCCTTCCACAGGTGCCCCACTCAGGTATAGGCAAGAACGACCTTGAACGCCTGACCATTGTCACTTATGTTGGTTGTATCATTTCAGCTCTAGCTTCACTTGTCATCATCTTCTTTCTTTGCTGGAGGTAGGATACGTTAATATTTTGCTCTAAGCTGGGATTCTGGAGGGAGCAGGGCTCAGAAGTTTCAGAAGAAATTTAGAGAGTAGCTCTGAAGGAGGAGCAAGGAAAGACATGCAGTGGATCTCAGTGAAGAAAAACCCTATGAGAGCAGGGAGGGAAAGAAGTAGGAAAAATTAGCAGTGGGATGGCACTTTCAGGCATGTGTTGGCCATAAGAAAAGCAGCCAGAAGACCTGAGAATAATACTCATTACAATCTTATGGTAATGCATACCTGTTAGTATGTACATCTCTGCATGCATCAGGAAAAATAATTTTTCCAGCTCTGAGTCACATACATGGCTGTGAACCCATGTAATGATGTAGCCACAAGCTGAAACCTACCATTTGCAGGCTGTTCCCAGTAACCACCAAACTTGAAATGAGGTGGGATTTTGTTACCTTGTTATTTCCCCAAGTGGTCACCCCCCCCCCCCATGTAGTTTCACAAACTGAACTTGGTGATGAATTGCCAAAGCCAGACCATGGAAGATGATTGCAGAATTTCCCAGATGGGCCTTTCTTGGAATGCAGGGCTCATGGCAGTTTGCCATATGAGTGGGACATTCATCTGCCATCTCAATGGGAAGGGGGCACCATAGGATGCAGTCAATGGAGGGTGGAAGTCTGTGTGCATTTGATACATATATGTTTTCTAAGAAGGATAGAGCTGGGGCTGATTTTGACTCCTATTTCCGTGAGCCCCAGCTAGCACAGTGAACAGCAATTGACCGTGAGAACTGCAGGGCAGAAGATCTGAAGAGCATCAGGTTATGCATCTGCCCTTTAAGGATAAGGGGTGGAGTATCAAAACACCTTGGGGCCTCATGCAAAGAGAGAAGAGAAGTATGATGCTCTTTCTTCTTCACAGGAAAAAGCAGAGAGACCACATTGTCTATGTGCACATGAATCTCCTCTGGGCCATCTTTCTCCTTGACATGGGCTTCCTCATCGGGGCTCTCCTAGCTCCTACCAGAGGTGACATGGCTTGCAAAGCTGGTGGCATGTTCCTGCACTTTGGCGTGCTTGCATGCTTGACCTGGATGGCCATTGAGGGCTACAGTCTCTACCGGCTGGTGATTGAAGTCTTCAATTCCTACATCAAATGCTTACTTGTTAAGCTCTCCCTTGTGGGCTGGGGTGAGTGACAGATGTTTTTTGCATCCTTGTTTTGGATCTGCCTCTTTCACTACTACTCTGGAACTATTATATTTTACCTAAGCTTTTTTTCCCCACTTTTTTCCTAGCTTGAATATTTTAAACTTATCTTTTAACAATTGTTGTGGAGTTGAGTGAACAGGGGCTGGATGGTGAAGAGGTGTGGCATTTACTCAGGCTGTTCTCCTCTTGCAGGTCTTCCCATATTCATGGTGTGTCTAATTTTTGCGATCGATCAGTCGTACTACGGCCCTTCCTCTTTTAAGGTCTACAAGTCTCCTGATAAATATACCAAAGCAACCATGTAAGTTCTTGGGGGTAGGACAGGAGCGCCCCCCACTGTCCATTCAGAAAGATGCATTTCTCCTTGAGGATTACCAGCTGCCAACCTCTGGGTAGCAGATGCTGAGATCCAACATATGGGATGAGCTTGGACCACAGGGAGGGTGTGATGCACCACATACATGAGTGGCACCAGGGGGTCTTGGACAGTCCTGTCTTTTGGGGAGGGGTCAGTTTAAAGAAAATTTCTCAGGCCATTTGAGGGGTTGTTTTCCAGTTTTTGTGTGGCTTTTTTTTTTTTTTTTT